CACCTTATTCTCTGTTATAGAATTGAAGTCTAATTATTAATAATACGGTATTTTGCATAATTAGAAAGTTTCAAGAATTAATTACAGGTTATTAATGGAGCCAGAATCGATTATTTATTATTGTTGTTCTGTTTAACCGATTGTTTAATTTTACATCTTTAAATGCATGATAATATACTAGCATTTGTAAAATGATTCAGTTGTGTTTCCTTGATACATGTATTGTTTGTCTTACATTGATTTACGGTTAAATTGTAAAACTGAAAATTAAATGTAAATAGAAAATTGATTGGTTAAGTGAATAAATGCATGGTAGTCTTACTAGATATCCTGAAAGATGGTAGATAGACTGGGTACATAGAGAATCCTACCGTGAGCATCGCATCATATCGAACGGGTATCGAAAATTGATATTTTTAGCGTTTATATCGGACGGGGTATTGAAACGGCCTATTTCACCTTAATATCGGACGAGATATTGAAGGATAATATTTCTGACACTCATATCGAACGGGGTATGGGGACTGCCGGTTAGTTGATAAGGTTGAAAAATAGTTTACGCGTAGTAGGACATCCCTATGGACCCCCATGGATACTAGTAGGCAAATAAAAATAAAAATTTGTTATTTTTGCTTACTTGAATGTAAGATTATGATGTTGTTGAACTATTGTCTTTATAGGTCAGTTTTGGAAATCTTGTAACGGTAAGTATGCGATAAATAATTTTACTTATGATAAATGAATTTACTTAAATTAAGAGCTCAATTGGTTATTTTTATAAATTTTTACCAACCTTCTTTTTCTATATCAGTGAGTAGTATGATATTCTTACTGAACTAGTATGGCTCACCCATTCATTAACTATTTCAGATCAAGATGACCAAGACCCAAATCCCGATCAACAAGAGGATTGTGAATAGTTCACCACCCGGACTCCTTCAAAAGCTAATGAAGGTTGTCATAAGATGGTCAGTTGTTTACTTTTCATTTATTTCTTTAATTTTTGTTTGTTCTTTTAAAAGGGATATTCTCGTAGCCCTATTGGGTATTTTAAACTATTGTGTATGAATGTAAACCATACCTTTATTATTCTGCTTCACATTCAATTCATGTCTTTATTTTATTTTTAGTTCTGGGTTGTTACAGTTAGTATCAGAGCTGGGTTCCTCGGAATTATTCATTACACAAAGACTAAAATACTAAATACAAACTATCGTCCAACCCTTGTCAAAAATGAGTACAAAGACCCGAGGAGATGAGATCCCTTACTGAACAGGGTAACTCGAGACGGGTCGCTTTGAGAGGATATCGATCAGCTATTCAAAATTTTAGAGAGACTCATCTCTGCCCAGTAGGCCAGAGAAAAGAGGAGGGAACTGTTTGATCCTCCACCACTTCCATA